GGGGCGCGCCTGTCCGCACCTTTGCAGGCGTTCAGAGGGGCAGGGGGAGGCAAAACGGGCCGCGAAGCACTCGCCTCGGGACTTGCGGGCTGCGGAGCGGGGCAGGGCGGCCGGGGCGCAGATGCGGAGATCCGGTGTTTTGCGGAGGCCGGGGGGGGTCCACAAGTTGGCAGGCTGCTGCAGGGAGCTGCCTCGGTGCCACTTAGAGGCTGCATGTACAGGAGGGGTTTTTTAGTTAAAAAAAACAAACCCAAAAGGGGCTTTTTTATATTTAGAAATACTGGAATACTAAGTCTTCCTGGCTTTCCTGGGAGACTTTTGGGGGGACTTTCCAGATAAGACTTAGACGCCTTTGAGAGTTTACTGAAAGGATGGGGTATTACCAGTATTACACGCTCTTTTCCTTTGAAGTGCTGGTCGTATGGAGGAGCACTATTGAGTCCGCTTCTTGTGAAGTTAACTTAACTTTATGAAAAATCCTTTCAATTCTCAGTCCAAAGGTCCTGAAATGTTTTATGACATTCATATAATGGGTTCCAGAGAACTCATTTGGGAATGGCTGACCAGGCTTCATCGTGATTCTGCGATGCGTCAAGGGGCTTCATGAGTGTGCAATACCTCTTTCAGAAGTATTTGCTTTCATTCTGTAGTTTCCTCATTTAAAAAAAGATCCAAAATCTGTAAAATATGGAGAAAGTAAAAGTAAAGATATAGAAGTGACTGTGCAGTTTTCATTTATTATCTCCACTTGTTGCTGGACAAACCAGCTTTTAAGTGATAGAATCTATTAGACTGATGTTTGAAGCATATTTTTGACATTGTGTATCCAAGTTGCTTGTATGAATGTGGTCCTGTAATTGAGTTCTTGCCTTTTTCTGTAAACTCCTTTATACATATTAAATCTCAGTCCTACAAATTGATAATTTGCTAGGCATAGATATAGTTAGCATACAGATTTACAAAGGTAAAGCTCTGTGGAGTTCACGTGTCCCCTTGGAGCTCAAAGATCATAATAGATTTGCCTTACCTAGTTTTTATATTTACTTCATGTAGGATCCCTTTAGGATCCACTTAGCTCTTCAGGATAGATTGTTTGAGATACTAATAGACTTCTGTTGATCAGTATATGAAAAGGTTAGAAAATCTGGTTTTCAAGACCATCAAATTTCCATTTGGGATGCAGCTTGCCACAAGAATAATTTTGGATTTCAGCTTGTACAAGTGAAAATTTGCTAGTCATGTTTCTAGGACAGAGATGTACGTAACAGTGTGTTCACAAGTAATGTATCGGGGGCAAAAAAAGGCACTGGTAGTCAGGAAAAGTGGCATGTGTTCTGCTTTACAGGAGCGGTGTGTGGGGGGTATCAGCTGGGGTGGGCTGTGCGGGACTGTGTTTCTGTGAATGGCAGCCAAGTGCGGGGCCTGACCGCAGTTCTTGCATCATGGATGTTGTGTGGCTCAGTAAGGGATACAGTTTTGTGGCTTTCTTTAGTTATTGACGATTTCTCTCTGAGGTTGGGATTTACTAGTGATGCCCAAGTCCAGAGATGCCCATCTCTGAATGCTGGATTGGCTGTACCCAATGCTTGCATACTCACCAGAGAGGAAGGAAAGAGCAGCAGAGGTCAGGGCATCCCTTCTGCCTTTCCTGCTGCAACCCCATAGTGGCTCTGTATGTGGTGGTTCTTACTGAGTAGTAGCGATGGGTAGAAACTGCTCATACTCCTCCAGGAACCTCCTGTGACCTTTGCAAATCCTGCAACCTAAATTTCTCGCTCTGGTTTTTTTTCCCAAACCTTCCATCCTCCTATTTTCCTGGATGTCAAGCAAGGACAGCAGACCAGGGGTCTTAGAAAAGCAAAATGGCCCACTGAAGGGAGAAATAAAGTGATGGGCAGTGAGATTTCCTACAAAAGACTGCAAAATTCTTGCAGAGAAGGGTGTATTGCCACCTTATCTCATGTTATGGCCACTAGTATGGATTTGTACATTTTGTCAACCTGAAAATGTGTTTAGACACACTTTTGATGTAAAGATGTGTTCATGGGCATTTGTAGAATTTATCGTATGAAAAAATGATAATTAGGATGGGATTAAGTTCTGGATTAAGACACTTGTCTGCATATGTACTAGGTGGCTATGGTCTGGTTATGGTCAATGGAGAGACCTCATCAATGTTTGCAGTGAAGCCTGGAGATGAATTTGGTAGACACCAAGTGCCTGGTCAGCTCAATAGCTGTCGGCTCTTAACCACACTGGCTAAATCATCCGTGAGCATGAGAGAATTTAGACACTCAAATAGTGTCTTAATCTGGATCTGAATCCTTCCCTCAAGGCACAAGTCATTTGGTTGTACAAAGATTCCTTTTAAACTATTTAAACAGATTACAGAATATGTTTGTTAATACAACTGACACTCTATGGTATTTAATATGTACCTAACTACTCTTGTTGTAATGCAGCCTTTTTTAGATCTATCTTCCGGGTTCTGCCACTGCTCCTTGTTCTGTCTCCAGTGAATTCATCTAGTTGTGCAATGAGAAATAAAACAACAGAAATCCGTGTGAAGTATGAGAATGTACTAAGCCATGACGTTGATGAGCTGGTAGGTAATAGCTCTTGGACTTTCAAAAACTGTTGATTATTTTTAGATGGTAGCAAATAATAATTAATAAAAAGCTTTAATATTAACATATAATAAAAGGCCCGTTTAAAATATCACATTATCCTGGAATGGTGGGTTTATTTGACAGGGTGTGAATATTCACTCTCTTTAAAATCTCTGAAATCTGTCAATGCTGCCTATTTGCATGTACAAATACTGTAACACAGGTATTTGTGCCTGTGCACCCTGTAGTTAGACACAAGTACCATTTGGCCCTAAATAGTATAACGTATTATATTAAAAAGTACTCTTTTGTGAAGTAATTGCGTGACTACTTCTGTTTAATCTTCTTGTCAAGGGAAGAAAGCATTACAAAATCTGTAATTTGTTTACTAATTGTACACTTCTTGACTAAAGTTTTACATTGTTCATTGAATACAAATGCACAGAGACACAAAATTCATAAACCAATATAAGTTTATTTGTATTTTACTTATTAATATATCCTGTTTATCCAACAGAGTCAACTTTTCTAGACGGCAGCAGAGAAAAACATAACTTTCTCAGTTGTAAATCTCCTCCACTATGGCTTTAGCAGCCACATTTATTACAGCTTTGCAAAACAGTATCATAATAGTTTACCGATCCATGCCCCAAACCTACCTTCCAACTCTTCATCATGAATTACTAACAATTAAATTAATCTGTCAAGAGCACTTTCAATGGTTGGATTAGCAGAGGCATTTATACGAAAATGGGATTTTTCTGACACTTTGTCACTAAATGAGAACTCACCATTGTGTCTTAAATCAAGATCTATTTGTATGAAATACAAGTGATATATAGTGCTTTTCCAAAGGTGAAGTCAGGAGCCTTTATATTTCTTCATGCCTATGATCCATCACCATCCTTCAGAGCATTATGCCAGTGGTTTCCAGTCTTTCTCTACCAAGACACATGCACCCTTATCTGGATACAGAATACCTTTAGGGTCAGAGAATGATTATTTGATCCTCAAAAACATTCTAATAGTGTTGTCTTTGTTGAGATCATGAAGAAAGAAATTTACTTCTCCATAGATAAATTACCTTATCCTGAACAAGGCACCAGAATTAGGGAAAATATTCACGGCCATATTAGAACAGATAAGTGGCCCCTTTAGTTATATCTTTTTATTTCTGGCAAAGACAAGTGTTTACTAGAGAATAAAAATAAACCCTCTTGGTGAGCAGTTATAAGATAGCTGGCCTATAAGGGGAAAGAACATGGCAGCCTCTGGGAGGCAGAGACTGCAGTCTTCCTGTGGTGGAGAGCCATGAGGCACATCCCAGCTGTGCTGGAGCTGCAGGTTCAGGGAACCTGGAGGTGTCCCGGGCTGGAGGTGGCAATGACTTGCCACCGCCCAATTGCAGGATGAAGCTTGATGCCCCAGGGTGCCATCGAGGATTTGAAAGGAGCAATGCCCTTCTTCCAGATACATTTTGGAAGTCTTTCTCTTTTATATTCTAATAGATGTTACAGTTTTTTAGGAGATAGATTTTTAAGAGACTCTATGAGAACTAGAACTGTTACCCAATTAAATTAACAACCAAATAAATAAAACATTAATGAGTAAATGTTTGTGAAAAGTAATGGGAATATACTGAACTCTGAAGCTGTTACTTTCTAGAATAGGCAGGTACAAGCAACTACTGTGCAAGTGTCTTGATTTTCTTGTCTTTATTTTTCAGAATTTAAGAGAGATTAATTTGTCTTCTATGTAAAATTGGTGTATAGTCTTGCCACTATAACTTAACAGCAAGTATTATGGACAGTACTGTTTGGGTGATAGCAGCTGCCCATGAGGCACTTTCCTGCAATTCCAAAACCAAAGTCAGTAACTTTCAGTCCCTCAGCCTCATGATTGGAGTCAGTTATGTAGATGACTAGTGGGTTATATACTAGAACTTCTTAAGTTAATTTGATTTTCACTAATGCCTTTTCTAAGGCCCAGATTTCCCTTAGGTTGCTTTAGTCATTGCCAATAAACTCTCTTCAGAAATGGTTACTGTACATTATACTAAAGATGATCTGAGGAAGTCAGAGTGGGTAAATCCCTTAGCAGTCAGCAAATGAAGCCACAGATACAGGTGGGCCTATGTCAACCTCATGCATAAGGCCAAGTGCAAGGCCCTGCACATGGATCGGGGCAATCCCAAGCACAGATACAGGCTGAGTGGAAAATGGATTGAGAGCAGCCCCGAGGAGAAGGACTTGGGGGTGTTGGTTGATGAGAAGCTGAACACGAGCCGGCAATGTCAGCTTGCAGCCCAGAAGGCCAAGTGTATTCTGGGCTGCATCAAAAGAAGTGTGACCAGCAGGTTGAGACAGGTGATTCTACTCCTGTACTCTACTCTGGTGAGACCCCACTTGGAGTACTGTGCCCAGCTCTGGGGCCACCAACATAAGGACATGGACCTGTTGGGGAGAGCAAGTGATATTTCTTAGGATATGTTATGTTAATGCATATGCAAAGTGAGTGATAAAATATATTTGCGGGGGCATGTATTTGTCTGGAGCATGTATTCATTGAGACAAACATTGACAAACATTGTATTTGATGTCTGTGTAAGATTTAAATATTCCTGTACATTTAAAATGTCAAAGAACCAAGTAATTTGATAGAATATGAATGTTTAAAATTAATAGATTTGTGTCCAGTTCTGGACTCCCCAGTACGAGAGACATATGGAGCTACTGGAGAGATTTCAGCAAAGGGCCATGAAGATAATCAGGAGACTGGAGCATGTGTCCAGTAGAGAAAGGCTGAGAGAGCTGGGACTGTTCAGCCTGGAGAAGGCTCAGGGAGAATCTCACCTGAAGGGAGGGTGCAAAGACGACACAGCCAGGCTCTTTTCAGGGGTGCCCAGTGACAGAACCAGAGGCAATGGGCACTACTGCGACACAGGAGGCTCCCTCTGAACATCCAGAAGCACTTTTTCACTGTGAAGGTGACTGAGAACTGGCACAAGATGCCCAGAGAGCTTGTGGATTCTCCATCCTTGGAGATACTCAAAAGCCACCTGGACACGGTCCTGGGCAACTGGCTCGGGGTGGCCCTGCTTGAACAGGGTGGTTGGACCAGGTGACTTCAAGAGGCCTCTTCCAACCTCAGCCATTCTGTAATTTTTTATGATTCTGTGAATACCTTTAGAAATTGCAGCTGGTTTGGGTTTTCTTTGCCTGGTTGCCAAGGAAGAGCTCAGAATTGTACACTGACCCTACTACACCTGAGGAGATGCTCCAGAACAATATACTGTTGATGTTGTCAGTTGTTAGTGAGAAACTTGGCTCACTTGATAAAAAGTACTTCTATGTTTAAACATATATGATATTTTACAGGTAAATACGTCTGCAGAGTATCGCGACAGGTGCTGCAAGAATAAAAAACATGAAAATAGCAAAGTGTTTTTCTGCAATGATACTCAGGTAAAATTTAATTTCTCCAAATTTACTTAGGAGAATACAAACTGAAATGGGTTCTTTATACCGTCTAGTCCCTGAATAACTTATTGTGATAGAGAGCAGTATTACCTTTTAATAGTCAAATCATGATATTCAGGGTTGTTCCTTCTTTGAATTTGGAATCACACCATTCATCAAGTAAATTGATATTTTAAAAATTAAAATATTAAGCAATCCCATATCCAAGAAATGCTTCGCCCCCCCACTATCAAGATTCCTTTACATTTTTAATCCAAAATAATATAGAAAACTTATTTTATTTTGCCAGTGGAAGTAAACATAAACATTTCCCAACATCTGTTTTCATTTTTCTACAGAAAATCATATTAGCTAAGCTTTTCGCTTCAGATCTGAAAGCCTTAATAGCAATAGTTTGGGCAGATTTCAAATGACAGAAAGCCTGATTGTCAGCTGTTGCTGCAAATTTTATCATGACTTCATAAAAGGACTGACTCCAAAAATCATTCACTGTTTTCCGAACTGTATCAGCTGATTTCCATACAGCTACGATTTCTCCCTAACATCTTCAGTGTATTATTATTCCTGCTATAAATTGATACTTTAAATATTTTGAAGAGATGGCAGGCAGTCATGTGTTTTATTGGAAATGATTGGCACTATGAAAGCAAAGGAAACTAATGGTAACTGATTCAGTTTGGTTTTTTTTAAAGACAAACCAACATTATAAAGAATTAATGGTGCACAGACTTTTCAGGACATATTTTTCTTGCTTTCTTTACAGGAAATAGAATCACTACAGAGTATGGCATGCAACATGCTCAGATTCTTTCATAAGCAAAAAATCAGCAAAGACTTTAGATGGAAAGCAGCATTAGTCTCATGTGGGACGTTACAGGTTCTACAGTGCAAATGTGAAAGACATAAAAAAGAAAAGGTGAGTGACAGTGTTGGTCCACAGTTTACTGGAAGTACGTGAGTTATTCCTTAGAGCTCTTCAACACAGACTGTCATTCCTTCCTCTCACAGGTACAACTATCATGCACATGTTATACACATAACAAATTTTGCTCTGTATATCATATGCCTTGTAACAGACATTAAGCCCAGTGCAAAGACTAAGACAATGATCTGGAAGTCTATAGGGAAAATATATATAATACATACTCTGGTTCAGTACTGAAATACCTGAGTTAATTCTCCAGTAAAAGACAAAGGTCACACTTATGCAAAGCAGGCCTTTAACTTCTCTAGCATATAAAATCGTATTTGTTACTTCTCATTGGGGTTCTACCCTAAGATTAGTGTTTAACTTGGTTTATTTTAACAAACAGTTAGTGGGAGTTTCTTTCTTTTCCACAGTCCCTTTGATCTTCACTTTAACCACAATGTATCAAACTCAGCAAGAATGGTTAGATATGAAAATGTTAGTCATTGGCAGAATGTCACTCAAATCTAGCAAAATGATCTACAGACTACCAGAGCAAAGGAAGAACTTTCTTTTAAGCGTGGCTCACAGTCACCTATTGAACACAAAAATATTGACCAACATCAAAAAGCCTACCCATAGGTACCAAAGGCTATAATTCTTTGATTGGCTTAAAGAGTTAGATTGAAGGCTGTGTTTAACTTACTTTTTTTTCCTTGAAATGGAGAAACTCTTATAATCTAGGACTAGATCTTCAAAGTAGTGTTGGTGTCTATATTTTGCTTAGCCACCTGTCATGAGTCCAATGTTTGCCTTACCGTAAAAGGTATCCCAGTTAAATCATAGAAGTGAAACAGTGTCATTCTTGGAAACTCCTACCTAACCTCGTGGTTGCCCAGTTTTATTTAAAGACCAATTAAAGTAATTTGGTAAAAACCACGAACAGCCATGAAATACGGACAAGAACCATGGTCTTGTCTGTGGGTAAGGCCCTGAACACTACGCCACAGCACCAGCCCCTGGGAATAGATCTGTCTTGTTTCAGCAGTTTCAAGGCACCACACACATATCTTTTTGAAGTATGAGTCCCAAATTAATTTGCTTTATTTTTCCAGTCCTTCAAATAATGGAGGATAAATTTCAAGCCACTGACAGAGGATGTGCATGTTCTCAGTTTCACACACAGGTTTCAGCTGTCCATATTTGCTGGGCGCTAAAGCTGCGTTTCCCCAGTCCAATGGGCAGGGGTGGCCACAGGGGTGTGCTGAGTGGGAGCTGATGCAGGGCGTGTTCTGCCACAGCGTGTTGTGTGAGCAGCCCAGCTCCCCAGCTTAATTACCATTACTTATTGAGATGTAGTGGAATCAGGCTTTTTAAAAAATATGTCTGTATGAAAAGAATAAGCACTTCCCAGCTAAAAATACAAACTTTTGCAGGTTCTTTTTCAGGTTTGCATGAAGGTAAATACACATAATAGAGAAGATGCAGAAACAGGTGAACAGTCCAAAAGGAAATGCAACCAAGAATTTTGTGAACTGAAAGAAAATATATCTAGCCTTCGATCCTGCTGGAATAAGTTTGAAAAATTAATTTCCAGGTGATTCCAGATGAATCCTGCTCTTTCCTTTTGAAGTGGCATTACTTGGTATCTTTGCATTTTATATGCATTCTTCAAGTAACTGTGCTCGCTTCCAAGAACCCTATGTGTCAGAATTGTGATCTGTACCTTGTTCCTGGAGACAGAATAAACAGAAACAGCTAAACCAAGCTGCTGAAGTCTGAGAAGTGGAAATAAAAGACCAAGGTTTGAAACAAAGACCTCTGCAGAAGGCTGTGTCCCACCTTCTGGAAACTACTTTGAATTCTTTGATCTTTAAAGTAACTTTATAATACCGTCACATGAAAGCAGTCTACTTACATGTTTACTGCAATTTATAAAACCATCTTAGAAGCTGCAGGTGAAGAAAACTGTGGAAAAGTAGCTGGTTTCTTTATATCTATACAAAATGCATCAAAGAGCAGAAGGAACAATTTGCCAAACAAGCAGCTGATCTTGGGTCTGTTCTGCTGATGCAGTAATGTTTTCAGTGTGGGTATCTAGTGGGTCTGCAAGCTGATTTAGGTTTGGAAAATAGGGAAAAGGTTACCTTTTTGAAAAACTTAGGGAGGGTACTGATTTTTGAGCAATGTAGCACACACCTACTGGCTGAAGTAGAGGCAAGACAGCGAGATCTATGGAAGGCGAAAAAGGAGATGCCTGAATGTACCTTTGTTCAGCTGACTGGAAACAGCACTAGCTTTATGTATTTGGTTATCCTAGTTAGCTGCAGGAGGAGCTAGAATTTCTTACCTTTCGATTGTGATTTCCTATACACAATTGTTTTATATAATGTGTTTAACATGTTAGACAAACATGACTTAAAATATGTGAATATTTTCAGAGAATAATATATTGGCATTTAACTAATAAAGTGTTCATATTTAATTTTTAATAAATAGAAGTATTTTTATAGTTGTTTATAACTCTTTTGCAGTTTCTTACTTTGATATTATAACTCCATTGATAATAAAATATTTGTCTTCTATAGAATTGGGCTGTTGACTTTTTGAGTTCCCTTTTTAGCTTTGTTTCACAGCTAGTTATTAAAGGCATGGCTGGTAATGGAACCTCCAGCTGCTTAGGACTTCACATTATAAAATATCTATTTCTTAGGTGCTTGTAACCTGGCTTTAGGTAGACACTTCCATACCATTCCTGGTATTTGCCATACTAAGCATTTTGGGAAACCTTTAGTTAAGTCAGCTTGTTACTTCCTGGTTCAGAATAAGGTATCATATACTGTTTTGTCTGTGCTAAAAGAAATTTTCTGTAGAACTGCTCTGAAATTTTTTTGGTATTCAGAACAAAGACTTGAAAAAATTGTGGCATGTACTTCAAAGAACTGTATAGATCTCCTTTGACTGGAACAAGATCTGCTGTACTGAATCCGTGAAACCCAGCACACCCTACTGCTAAAAGGGAGGGACATCATACTGTTATGCTTTCCTGGAATACACCCCTTCCACCCCTCCATCTATTTATAGTGAAGAGACTTCTTGAGGCAGGAGTAATAGCTCCAAACCCAACCCATAACTCTTCTGCCTAATAGGAAAGGGAAAACCATTTCCCAGTATCATACTGCAGATAGGAGATGTAGCCATTGCTGTAAGGACTTCTCTGGAAATCCCTTCTACTGAAGTAAGCCCTAGGAGACTGAGGATTGAGTTTGTCCGGGACTGGAGAACAGTTGCTTTTTTTTGGAAATTCAGGAACAGTTCAAAGCCAAAATTTGTTTCCTAATAACCACTTGGCAAGGAAAGGTCAGTGGGAATTAAAAGAAAAACACACAGATGCAACATTAGCTACTACAAAACTGGAAGTTCAGTCAGCTTTAATGACTTCAGCAGCTGCCTACAACTTAAATCTTGAGGCAAATACAGGCCTATCCTGGGGAAACACCAGGGTTAGATCCAGAGCAGAAATGTAAATTGAGTGATTATGAAACGTTTTTTTTTTTTTTCTGATTGCTTCTCCTAATAAATATTCTGCCTGCCTGATTCTCATTACCAAATTTCCTGAGTAACCACTTACATGCAGACTAGCTGCTAAACACAGTGCCTTGGGCTCTGATTTGTTCCTTCCATTTGAGAAACTTCTTTGGTCTCTCCTGAAATTACAAATGTGACAATAAACTGCTCTGTAGGAACTGGTGAAGGAAAGAAAACCTTGCAGAGTATCTCCACCACACCTACCTCCCTGCCACTTTTATTTGTTTAGCCACTGCAAAGAAGGAATATGAGTAGGTCAAACCTATGATTTAGCAATACATGGAATTTATGGGAAGGTGACGAAGACAATTTTGGTATTTAAATAAGAATTGGAGTCATACGATTCTAATTAAAATACCCAAATTGTCTTAATTCTAGCATATTGTTGCAAGAGATTATGAGAAAGCAGAAAGGGCTGACTAACCCCTGCGAGCAAGATAATGTTGAACATTTCTAATAGCAAGAATGAGTTAGGTTTGTGATTTATAATGAGACAGAAGAAATTTTGGTGTTCAGGAAGCCAGCTCAAGGAAGGTCACTGGAAGAGAATGTTCAAATCTTACTTTACACCAGCAAACAGGTCTTTACAGCTGTAGTTTTTTAGCTAAAGATGCAGGAGCAAACATCTCCTGGCTAGTTATGTGTTTCCTTCCAGTTCCATCTCTTTTATCTTTGTGCTGAGCCAAAGAGATGTTGGCTTTATGATAGATTTCATTCAGCAGCTACTTAGGTTTTGGGGTTTTTTTGTTTGTTTTGCTTGATTGTTTTCTCCTGCTATCTGATTGGAATGGTTCACGGTGAACTAGAATAAAGAGGAAGCCAGCATGAGCGCTATCACAGAATCTCAGCAATGAAGAGAGATTTTGCAGACTCTTGGCTCATAAATGAATTTCATCAGAATGAAGGGACCATGTATCTGTCTTCCTCTGAAGAAAGTATGGTGAGTAAACAAAAGAGCCCAGTGGGAGGAACTTTTCCCTAAAAAGAGAAGAAAGGAATTGGTCTCTACTCATCTGTACTTAGCCAAAAAATAAAAATCAGGAACCCAAATCCATATTCTGATTTCTGCTCACATAAGTGAACTTTACAGGAAAACAGTTTCTGCTTTTTTTTTTTGCTTAATCTACTTGAACTTGTGCAAGCCATTAGACACTGTCCTGCACATCCTTGTCTCTAAATTCTAGAAGCAGAGACTTTATAAATGGACCACTCAGTGGATAAGGAATTGACTGGATGGTTGCACTCAGAAGAACTGTGGTCAACAGCTGGAGGGAAGGGATGCCATACAGAGGGACCTTGACAGGCTTGAAAGGTGGGCCTGTGTGTACCTTGTGAAGTTCAATAAGGCCAAGTATGACATTCTGCACATAGGTGGGGACAATCCCAGGCATAAATACAGGCTGGGTGGAGAACGAATTAAGAGCAGTCCTGAGGAGAAGGACTTGGGGGTGTTGGTTGATAAGAAGCTCAACAAGAACCATCAATGTGCGCTTGCAGCCCAGGCAGCCAACCACATCCTGGGCTGCAGCAAAAGAAGTGTGGCCAGCAGGTCAAGGGAGGTGATTCTACCCCTCTTCTCTGGTGAGACCCCACCTGGAGTACTGCATCCAGTTCTGGGGCCCCAACATAAGGAGGACATGGACCTGTTGGAGCAAGTCCAGAGGAGGGCCACGATGATGATCAGGGGGCTGGAGCACCTATCCTATGAGGACAGGCTGAGAGTTGGGGTGGTTCAGCCTGGAGAAGAGAAGACTCCAGGGGGATGTTAAAAGCAGTCTTCCAGTACTTCAAGGGGACCTACACAAAAGATGGAGAGGGACTTATTAAAAGGGCCTGCAGTAATAGGACAAGGGGTAATGGTTTCAAACGAAAAAAGGGTAGATTTAGGTTAAATATGAGGAAATAATTATTTGCTGTGATGGTGGTGAGACACTGGAACAGGTTGCCCAGAGAAACTGTAGATGCCTCCCTCCCTGGAAGTGTTCAAGGCCAGGTTGGATGGGGCTTTGAGCAGACTGCTCTAGCACAAGGTGTCCCTGCCCATGGGCAGGGGGGTTGGACTAGATTATTTTAAAGATCCCTTCCAACCCAAACCATTCTGATTCTCTGATAATTATTTTATCAACAAAACCATGCTCTAACCTCATGAAGGAGAACAAACCCACATCAAGCTTAGGTTATATATCATACCTTACAACCTTAGTAAAAGAAAAAAAAATAAAAAAATAAAAAAATAACTATATATAAGCTGATCACATTAATTTAAATATCTGGTATAGAGTATTCTCAAGATGACTGAGGAATCCAAATCTCATTTCACAAGTCAATTAAAAAACCCTATCATTTGAAAAGGCCAACTAAGTGGTTTTCTCCCAACCACTAAGAGAAGATAGTTGATGATCCTCACATCATATATTGTGTACTTGAGACCAAAAAGATATCACAATATTCATAGAGCTGAACCCCTATACTATTTTATTTAAGACAATTTCACATTTATCTACAAAAAGCAGGACAAAAAGAAGTTTTATTGGCATATTTGCTTTATTGTTAACATGTGGCAAATTAGCATTGGTGGTGTTTTACATTTATTTATTAAAACAGAACTGATACTTGAAAATAAACAATATACCAAATAAGATGCAACTAAACCCAGGAATTCTGAAAAAAACCCCACCCCCAAAAACAACAAAAAAACCCAAAACCAAACCCCAAAAGAAAAAAACCCAACTCAACAACAAAAAAGACCTCCACCACACTGGATGGTCACAAACACAAATATTCAATGTACTGAGGGGCCAGGCAAACATAATAAATGCAATACTGCCAAAATTAATCACCTCAAACACATGAATGAACAAGTTAATTTAAAAACATGAAACATCAATAAATAAACTTAAGAAGATACATATTAAGTATCACATGAGAGATGAAAACCAAGAGTTGGAGCAATCATATACAGTTGGTATTGTAACAGTCATAGAATACTCAGCACTTTACAGATTGGACCCAA